GGTAGGTTGGAACCCAGCCTGGGCCTGCCGAAAGAACAATGACAACTACAACAAAAAAACAGCCGAGTATTGTGGCAGACACCTGTAGTCCCAGCTACTTGGGAGGCTGAGGCAAGAGAATCACTTAAGTCCAAGAGTTTGAGGTTGCTGTGAGCTGCAAAACCATAGCACTCTACCAAGGGCAACATAGTGAGACTCTGTCTCAAAAAATAAAAAAAATATAGACTCTTAAGCTCTTCAATTTTTCTTCAGTAGAAAACTTTTAGAATGTCCCAGCAATATCTGTATCTAAAAACAGGCATCTGCTCTCCAAAATTAAAAGGGGAGGGGACTGAATGAATATATCCCTTGCCTGTATAAGTGTAGAACAGGTGTCCTCAAACTACAGCCTGCGGGCCACATGCGGCCCACCTAGGACATTTATCTGGCCCACTGGGTGTTTTTGCCATCGCTGCCTGTCTTACTTAGCAGCCGACTCGTCCCAGGGCCCACAGTCCAGCACTCCAATGGTCTGAGAGACAGTGAACTGGCCCCCTGTTTAAAAAGTTTGAGGACCCCTGTGTAGAGGAATGGACATCATGTTTGCAAAGGACAGTTACTGATTCTTATCATATTAAAAGGAAATGCTGAGAACAGGACAGTCACCTGGCAAGCCTAGAGACATTCCGTGACAGGGGCAACCCCCCAAGTAAGTCAGTGCTCTGGAATGAGATAAGATCGGTCACTCACTAGTAAGCAGGTGTTAAACACTGATGCTTGGTACTTCTTCATGGGGGTTGTGGGGAAACAGCATGAGGGGAAAGAGCACGTGGCAATCCTTATGCAAGCAGCCCTCAAATGTAATTACCTTAATTCTCCACATCTCTTGTGTATGTCATTACTGTAACTCTCCATGCCTGTTGTGTAGAACCTTAATAAATAGCCATTGTGGAGGGGGCTCAGGTCTATCCTGCACTCAAGGTTAGCCCGCCTCCCGCCAAGTTTGTACTTCTAATCCGTGTCACGCCTGGTTCCTTCCTGTGGCAACCATTCCTAGGCTTTGTATTTTACAATATTGCCATTAAAAAATAATAAACTTTGAGCAGCGCCTGTGACTCAAGGAGTAGGGCACTGGCCTCATATGCCAAGGGTGGTGGGCTCAAACCCAGCTGCAGCCAAAAAACTGCAAAATAAATAAATAAATAGATGAACTTGGCGTGGCACCTGTGGCTCAAGCAGCTAAGGGGCCAGCCACAAACACCTGAGCTGGAGGGTTTGAATCCAGCCCGGGCCCGCCAAACAACAATGACGGCTGCAACCAAAAAATAGCCAGGCATTGTGGCAGGTGCCTGTAGTCCCAGCTACTTGGAAGGCAGAGACAGAAGAATCACTTGAGCCCAGGAATTGGAGGTTGCTGTGATGCACAGCACTCTACATAGGGTGACAGCTTGAGGCTCTGTCTCAAATAATAATAATAATAATAATGATAAACTTGGGGCAGTGCCTGTGGCTTAGTGGGTAGGGAGCAGGCCCCATATACCGAGGGTGGCAGGTTCGAACCCAGCCCTGACCAGCTAAAACAGCAGTGACAACTGCAACAAAAAATAGCGGGGCCTTGTGGCAGGCACCTGTAGTCCCAGCTACTCAGGAGGCTGAGGCAGGAGAATTCCCTAAGCCAAGACTTGGAGGTTGCTGTGAGCTGTGATACCATAGCACTCTACCAAGGGTGACAAAATGAGAGTCTGTCTCGAAAAAAATAAATAAACTTTTAATTTTATAGTAAGTCATGATAATTGTCATTTGCAACACACACATATACATCTATATACATATACACATATATACTTATAATAAATTGTCACTATACCTGCCCTAGTTCAGGGCCATTATCTTTCTGCCACCCAAATTACCCCTATATTGAACTGAAATATGATCCTCCCAAAACTAAAACTGAAGTTGTCACTTCCTTGTTTGAAAGCCTTCAGTGAAATTTGTATATAGCTTTTCAAATCAAATATTGAGTATTTAGCTAATGACCAAAAAAGACCACCAGCCTACCCAATCACAAATACTCCTCCCCTCACAGTAAGCCTTCATCTGGAGTCTTCCTAAGGAGGCATCAACCCGTGCTGATGACAAATATGACAACGGACAGGGGCCTAGTAGGAGAAAGGAATAGATAATGCCAGGCTCATAAAAATACTTTATCTTTATCTTGAAAATTAGATAAGTTTAATATCTATATATAAACTGATATGACATCTTATTCCCATTTTTTTTTTGGCAGTTTTGGCTGGGGCTGGGTTTGAACCCACCACCTCTGGCATAGGGGGCCGGCACCCTACCCCTTTGAGCCACAGGCGCCACCCTCCCATCACAATTTTTAAGTATAGTCCAAGACTAAAGAGGATTCTATTCTTCTTTTTAGACTAATTTAAAATCACAGAAGATTCCTTTTGTGTAAGAGAACTTACTGATTCAATGAAGGTATAATCAATACTGAATCATACGTCAACTTCTTGAAGGGCAAAAATAAAGCGACAGTCTAAATTCTCTAAATTTTTCAGCTATTGCTAACAGAAGGTACTGCCAAGATGAGGAACACAGGGCAGTCTAATACTGGTCCAAGGAATTTTCGTATCTTATTTCTGAGGAATAGAAAACTGTAGGAGTCTGCATAGTAAATCAACTAGTGAGACCTTGGTTCTATAGTTAGAAATTCTCTAAAAGCCACAAGGCCCACACTGTCACCCAACACCACGTGAGTGCATCCAATACTGGATAAGACAGTGCAGGAAAATGACATCAATCCCAGGAAATAAGCTCTTCTCTTGTCAGCTCAAAAGTGGGAAGAACTTACTTGATTGAAGTAGACTGGTCCTACTTCTGTAAGAAGCCAAATTATTTCAGGGTTTTAAACGTCATGTGGAAAAAGTGCAGACCATGGACCTTAAACTCTACCTGTGATCCTAAGACAAACAATGCAGTTAAATGACTTCCAAAGGTGCAGAGCAGACATTCTCCAGTTACCAAGGCATCTACAAAGCACCTTTCAAAAGACCCAGGAGCCCCATATATTACACAGCCACAGAGGGGGGAACCAAATTCGGGTTTCCAACCAAAATTGTAAATGTTTCTTGGTGAAAGCCACAATTCGCTGTGGTGCCTCGTCAGTTGATCCTAAGTTACTCTGGATTCCTCTGCAGTTGCTGTAGTGACCGTAAGCCTCTCACGTCTTACTTGGCTGACAGCCCAGGTCCGAGGAAGAGAGAGCCAACAATCGCTTACTCAACAGGGCATTGTGTCGCTTCAGATACACTATTATGTCTCCTTGCTTTTCAACAATTTCTTCCAGGCTTGAAATAGTGCTGCAAATAACCAAAAATATAAAGGGGTTACACATATTCACTAGTACCCATTACTTTCCTTGCAAACAAGCTTCTTCCAGTTTTCAGGAATGCATGCTGTAATTGTTACCATTTCTTACATGTCATACCAGGGCAATTCTGCTAAATGACATGTTTTCTTTTTTTCTTTTTCTTTTTTGGAGACAGAGCCTCAAGCTGTCGCCCTGGGTGGAGTGCCGTGGCATCACAGCTAACAGCAACCTCCAACTCCTGAGCTTAAGCGATTCTCTTGCCTCAGCCTCCCAAGAAGCTGGGACTACAGGCGCCCACCACAATACCCAGCTATTTTTTGGTTGTAGTTGTCATTGTTATTTGGTGAGTCCGAGCTGGATTCAAACCTGCCAGCTCTGGTGTATGTGGCTGGTGCCTTAGCCACTCATTTTCATGAATCATGTACAGTAACTTTCATTCTTGAAATAAATTAATTTTGTACATTTCAATTTTTTTCTTTTGGAGACAGAGTCTCACTTTGTTGCCCTTAGTAGAGTGCTGTGGCATTTTAGCTCACAGCAACCTCAAACTCTTGGGCTCAAGTGATCCTCTTACCTCACCCTCCCGAATAGCTGGAACTACAAGTGCCCACCACAACTCCTGGCTGTTTTTGGAAAAGAGGTCTCACTCTGGCTCAGACTTGTCTGGAACCCATTAGCTCAGGCAATCCACCTGCCTCGGCCTCCCAGAGTGCTGGGATTTATAGGCATGAGCCACCAGGCCCGGCCCCTTACTTTCAATATATATAGTTTTTTAATAACTGTTTTGACCCTAGTCTCTCAAGCAGATATGGATGATACTGTAAGCCATGGAAGTTGCTTAGGAAGAGACCAAGACAGAAACAAGGCGAGGGAAGGGAGAGGGCAGACCCAGCTGGCTACTTGGGAGGCTGAGGCAAGAGGATCGCTTGAGTCCAGGAGTTCAAGGCCAACCTGGCCAACATAGATATACCTACCCTGTGTCTCAAAAAAACAGAGAAGCTAGCAGGTTGTAGAAGCCTACAAACAAAGCACTTCAGGGAGGGAGCACCCAGTGACATAACAACAAAAGCTGACTGGTTGTCTAAATGGTTGACCTCACTTTTGCATGAAGCATATGAACCTTTTACTAAATTTATATATGATCATTTAATTTTTGTTTTCACACATACTCTCACTTTGTCACCTTCTGTAGAATGCTGTGGCATCACAGCTCACAGCAACCTCAAACTCTTGGGCCTAAGTGATTCTCTTGCCTCAGCTTCCCAAGTAGCTGGGACTACAGGTGCCTGCCACAATGCCTGACTCATGTCTGATGATTTAAGACTTAGTTTCACCACAGCTGAAAGGAAAGAAACAAATCAAACATAATTATAAAAGCACAAATAGTCATAAATTCCAAACATTAAAATGGTTTCTAGCCTTCTAGGGGGAAGAAATTATTTTACTCCCCACCTGACCCTTACCTGAATCCAGTCTCTGAGGTAATACTGCTAGGGTAAGCATAAATTTTTCCTTCTTCAAGTACATCAGGTTGTGGTTTGGCTTTATTAAATTTTTGGATTTTCACTAAAATAATAAAGTCATTATTAGTAAGACCTAATTCTGAAAAAAAGTCTATTCAATGACATTATTAGCTGTTTTTATTAATATACCCAAGTTATTTCAACAACTACTACAGCCGTATGAAGCCCCACAAAGATAGGAATTAGCATTATTTTGGTAATAATTGTTCACATGGATGCCCAAATTCAGTTCCCACAGCCAGCCCAGAGACCAGGCATTGCAGCCAGGAAGCAGGACATCAGGGCAGCACCTGTGGCTCAGTGAGTAGGGCACCAGCCCCATATACTGAGGGTGGCGGGTTCAAACCTGCTCCAGGCCAAACTGCCACAAAAAAAACAGTCAAGCATTGTGGCGGGCGCCTGTAGTCCCAGCTACTCAGGAGGCTAAGGCAAGAAAATCACCTAAACCCAAGAGTTTGAGGTTGCTATGAGCTGTAACGCCACGGCACTCTACTGAGGGCAACAAAGTGAGACTCTGTCTCTAAAAAAAAAAAAACAGGATGCAGGACATCAGAGCCTCACTGTTAACACCACTCTGGTCCAGAGGAAAATACAAAAAACGTGTCTTCATTCCAAGACAGTATGAAAGTGCCTTGGGTAGAAGCTTGCACAAAGAGCTGAGCTGGCCTTACCAGGCAGTCCCTAACCCTGCAGGGGGTTCACAGGGGAGGAAGAGGAGAAAGCTTCATCACCCAGACAAGAAGAATGGAGAAGAAGGGTGTTTCAGGTGTGGGAAGTGCCTAAGCAAACACTATGGTCTGGAGAAGGTGTATGTACACGGGTGGGGGGTATCCACAGCAGGTGAGGCTGGAAAGGTGGGCAGGGAACACGTTTCTAGTGTCTGTTGTGTCATGCAGGACATTTCGGTTTTATCCTGAGAGCATTGGCAGCCACTGAAAGGTTCTCACCATCATCCCTGAAGAGCAGCTGGGTAAAGGCCACTCGTGACGCTGATGACAGGGACTAACTACGAACAAGCTCACCATGGCTGGAGAAAGGAACAAGTCAGAGGACAGGAGGAGGGAGACCTATAGCGTGCCTACTGCACCTACCCAAATACGAGAAGAGGGATGCCTCACCAAGGCGATGGCAGTGACCACGGAGAAAGAGATTTGAGCGACAGGCAGACTCAATAGGACCGATAAGTGACTGACCATCAACCCTATCCAATCCTTGGGGAATGAGGTAAAAGGAAGGACTCAGGGTGTCACTAGGCTTCTTAGGTTCTGATTGAACAGTGCTAATGGCTATGCTGTTAACTAAGTGGTGGGGGGGAAGGCTAGGGTGAGGAAAGGTTTTATTTGTTTGGGTTTACTTTTTGAGACAGAGTCTCACTATGTCGCCCTGGGTAGAGTGCCATGGCGTCACAGTTCACAGCAACCTCCAACTATTGAACATCTGACAAAGGACTAATATCCAGAATCAACAAGGAACTCGAAACAAATCAGCAAGAAGGAAAGAACACCATTAAAAAGTGAGCAGAAAACATGAACAGATGTTTTTTAAAAGACAGACAATTGGCCAATAAACGTACAAAAAACTGCTCAGCATCCATGGTACTCCATGGAGGGAGACTTAGTGAGACTAAACTCCTTAGCCTCAAGCTGTCGCCCTGCGCAGAGTGCCATGGCATCACAGCTCACAGCAACCTCAAACTCCTGGATTCAAGCCATTCTTCTGCCTCCACCTCCCAAGTAGCTGGGACTACAGGTGCTAAGCTCCTTAGCCTCAAGCTGTCGCCCTGCGCAGAGTGCCTTAGCCACTTGAGCCATAGGCACTAAACCCAAAGTTACATTTCTGTTGACTTTCAGAAAGTAAAAGTTTGTAATTTGTTTTGCATTTTGTTTTAATGAAAAAGATTCACTTTAATTGACAAAATATATCAATAACTTACTCTTAGACAAGTCACTCACTGGCAAGGGCTGTGCCCTTCCTGTGGGTTTGACATTAGAGATGTGACTGTGGTCAGTGATGAGAGGTGCAGGTGCTCAGTATGTTCCCAGCCACATGGAGAAATATCACATCACTCAAACAACCGGCTATGCTTCACCCTGGGACAGAACAGCCTGGCTGTAATTCTCACCTGTGTAAATGAGCAGACACACAAAGGAACAGATCAGTTCCAGGGCCAGGACGGCAAAAATGAGGTCCAGGTACAATCTGCTGGGCTCGGGAAAGGAGTGTTGCACACACAGGATGAGCAGAAGCACCATGTTGCCTAAGGGAGGGGAAAAAGAAACATGGGGTATGAGGACAAATACATACACGGTCTCTGGGTAATATACAGAGTGGCCGTAAAGTTCATGTGCAAAAATTGAACTTTGCAGCCACTCTGCATTCTTGCCCTTTGTCTGGCTCTTCACAGAGCTCCAGAAGCCTCTGCAACTTCTTATTGATAAGAGCAATAATAGTGTGTTTTGTCACGCAGGGACTGAAAGGGTGTGAGACCTTTCTTCCCCATCTTCAGGGTCATTGCAGACACTCCCATAACAAAGTACAGGTTAATGAGAGAAAAGCAAAGCATCCTTCATTCACTCCAAGTTTTACCTGACATGGGAGCCTTCAGAAATTAATAACCAAAGACTAGGGAAAACTGTCTATTTTTAGTCTCAGGTTCAGCAAAGAATGGACATCTGTGTGGAATGTGCCTGGACAAAGTACAGGGGGGTGGGGGGAGCAAGGCTTGACTGTTTAGATTCTTAGTCTGCCTGTGTACCATTCCCCCTCAACCCATCCCCACATGGGGCAGGGAGGGTGAAAGTAGCCTTTCTAGGTTTTATGGCTTGCTTTGGGAGAAAGTTCTAGTTTCTTTCCCCCTTTGGCCATCCCTCCCTCCCTTCCATTCATTCCTTTCTGAGACAGGGTCTCAAAAAGTGCTAGGATTACAGGTGTGAGCTACTGCACTTGGCCACAGAGGAGTTCTAGTTTCTGCAACCCACTTTTGGGAAGAGGAATTCTGGTGTCTATGACTCACTGGAGGAGAAAGACAAGAGGCAGGAAGGCAGGAGGAGGTCAAGGGGAACTGGCCTCTGAGGCCCCCATCTTTTTGAGGTAAAGGTATTGGACATGCCAACACACCACACTCTGAGGTATCATGTTTTGAATTCCAACAGTTAAAATATCTGATTTTTAGGGGGTGTGGTGGCTCATGCCTGTGATCCCAATACTTTAGGAGACTGAGGCAGGAGGATCATTAGAGACCAGGAGTTTGGGCAACATAGCAAGACTCCATCTCTCTAAAAAAAAAAAAAAACAACAAAGAAATTAGCTAGACATGGTGGTGTATCTATAGTCTCCACTACTCAGGAGGCTGAGGCAAAAGGGCTGCTTGAGGTCCAGACTTTGAAGTTATAGTGAATTATGATCACACAACTGCACTCCAACCTGGACAACAGAGCAAGACCCAGCTTTAAAAAAAAAAAAATTGTTTTTGGTTTTTGTACAGAGCTCCTAAAACCCCTGGAATTTTCTAAGTGACAGAGTGCCTTTTGTTATCTCTAACAAACCCATCTCACATTCCATGGTTCATGCTAATGAGATGACTCAGGGCTGGACCCCAACAGCCTCAGATGGGGCTGGTCACCCCAAACACCACTGATTAGAGAATTGGCAATTTTAGCCCCACTCACCAACCTCAAGCAAGAGAGGCAGGCTAGAATTTAAAGTTCCATAAAAAGCTGGGCATGGTAGCTCACACCTGTAATCCCAGCACCTGGAAGGCCGAGGCAGGTAGATTGCCTGAGTTCACAGGTTCAAGACCCGCCAGAGGGAGACCCTGTCTCTAAAAATAGATGGGCATTATAGTGGGCACCTATAGTCCCAGCTACTTGGGAGGCTGAAGCAAGAGAATAAGTTGAACCCAAGAGTTTGAGGTTGCTGTCAGCTAAGATGCCACGGTGCTCTACCCAGGGTGAGCAAGTGAGACTCTGTCTCAAACAAAAAAAAAAATAATAAATAAATAAATAAATAAAGTTCCATAAAAACTGTCAATGAGATCTGACTAGCTTTCAGGTTGCCAGCAGGGTGGTATACCCCAACTTCTGTGAACCTACTGGGGCCTCTTCCAGATCTCACCCACATACCTGTCCATCTGTGTCCTTCATAATACCCTTTTGTAATAAACCAGTAAACATAAGGAAAGTGTTTCCCTGAGTTCCGTGAGCCCTTCTAGCAAATTATGAACTCCTGGTCGAGGCCTGGTCTTTCCACCAGCATCTGAATTGGGCAGTCTTGTGGGACTGCACCCTTTTACTTCTGAGATCCAACACTTAAGTCCAGGTAGAAGCATCAGAATCGAATTAAGTTGTAGAACACCTACTTTTTGTGCACTGGAGAACTGAATTAAGTTGCAGAGTGTTGACTTGGTGTTTTGTGGCTCAGGGGCTGGGATGTCAGCCACATACATGGGAGCTGGCAGGTTTGAATCTGGCCCAGGCCTGCCGAACAACAATGACAACTACAACCAAAAAATTAAAATAGCCAGGCATTGTGGCAGGCACCTGTAGTCCAGCTCCTTGAGAGGCTAAAGCAGGAGAACTGCTTAAGCCCAAGAGTTTGAGGTTGCTGTGAGCTATGACATCACAGCACTCTAATGAGGGCAACAAAGTGAAACTCTGTCTCAAAAAAAAAAAAAAAAAAAAAAAAGAAAAGAAAAGAAGTTACAGAGTGTTGTGTGTGAGAGTGCCAAGAGACAGTTTATCCCCAAACCCAGGTTGGCCACAGCCTTCCACTGCCACCCCCAGGGTACAGATGCACCCAGAACTGTTTCTACTGAGCAGCTAAGGGAGTGGAAGGGTAAAACTAGGGATAAACTTGGAGGAAATGGAAAAAATTCTCACACAGCTAAGAGTTAACAATGCCTCATACTATTAACATTTATATAAGAATCTGAACTTTTTTTTCTTTTTTGAGACAGAGTCTCACTTTGTCACCGCCACTAGAGAGCTGTGGCGTCATGGTTCACAGCAACCTCAAACTCCTGGGCTTAAGCAATTATCTTGCTTCAGCCTCCTGAGTAGCTGGAACTACAGGCACCGGCCACAATGCCCTGCTATTTTTAGAGACAGGGTCTCACTCTAGCTCAGGCTGGTCTCAAACTCGTGAGCTCAGGCGATCTGCCTGCCTTGGCCTCCCAAGAGTGCTGGAATTATAGGCGTGAGCCACCATGCCTTGCCTAGAATCTGAACTTTCTTAAAAGCTCAAGACTGATTTTTGCTTTAGACAATTATGAACAATGACTTCCTCTGGGCCCCTGCACGGGTAAAAAATAAAATTTGGGGAAGTTTTCATTATTCCAATTCTTCAGGACCCATAGGCCCCTGGGGAGCCCAGGAGTCTGTCTAGTTACTTAACCCAAGACTGTAGGATGGATAAGAATGTGGCAATGGTAGGCAGCCCCTGTGGCTCAGTGGGTAGGGTGCCAGCCCCATATGCTGAGGGTGGCAGGTTTGAACCCAGCCCCAGCCAAACTGCAACAAAAAATAGCTGGGCATTGTGGGCACCTCTAGTCCCAGCTACTCAGGAGGCTGAAGCAAGAGAATCGCCTAAGCCTGAGAGTTGGAGGTTGCTGTGAGCTGTGATGTCATAGCACTCTACCAAAAGTGAGATTCTAGCTCTAAAAAAAAAAAAAAAAAAGAACGTGGCAATGGGCCGGACGCTTTGGGAGGCCAAGGTTGAACTATTGCTTGAGGCCAGGAGTTTGAGACCAGCCTTGGTAACATAACAAGATTCTATCTTTACAGAAAATTTAAACATTTGCCAGGTGTGGGATGGTAAAGGGTCTGTCCCGTGGACATTACATAAGGCTCTCCTGAGGATGCACTGCCCAGCACATTGTCTTGGGTCAGATGAAGGTCATCTCACCTCTGGGCTCTGGTGGCAGCTTCCTTAGCAGTTTTGCTGACAATGGCACACAAAGCTCATCCCCAAAAAAGTGCTGCACACCTTGCTGCTGAGTATCACTACAGCCATCTATGAAGTGCTCCCCTTGGGAAGCCTTGCACTGAGGCCAGTGCCTAGTCTACCCTTCAGAGCAATTTTGGGACTCTTTTTCTGGAATGGCCATCAGAACTGTCATTGTACAAAGGTCTGACAATTAAGTTGCAAACTTGCCACTGTTCACTTATATTGGCAGTACTGTACAAACAGCTCTATGAGGTTTTATAATCTCGGTATATCAGTGTCTCACAGCTGTGCTCGTGCTGATGTGTGGCGCTGTCTTGCTGAGGGGTGTTTGTTATTGTTGCCATGTGTTTTTGTGTGCCAGAGGGTGACAGCTCTGAAGGTCATTCCAGAAAAGGCATTCTAAAATTGCTTTAAAAGGTGGACTAGTTGCTGGCATCGGTGCACAGCTTCCCAAGGTGAGGGCTTAGAGGATGAACATAGTGACATTGTGCAATGAGGTATGTGGCACTTTTCTAGGGTGAGTTCAAGAACTTCACTGCCAGCCCTTGCATACTCTCCAGCTAGAGTCGGACTAATCTTTTCTAAATCTCACAGAGATCAGCAAACCCCTCCACTTCAGTGGCTGCCTGCTGTGCCACCAGCCGGGGTTCCTCCTGCCTGCCCTGGCCAGCCTCTCAGAACTCTGTGGGCGGTCTCCATGTTCCCTCCACTTCTCACCTACAGTCTTGCTCACTCCCTCACTCAGAAACTGCCCGCATGACAATATGTGACCACTTTTGGCAATTTAAAAATGGTTTTATTACTTTAGACATAGCCTACATGTTTATTCTTTACTCCATTTGCCATTTAAAAAAGATTCTAAGAGCTGATGGAATCCTCGCTGTATATTAAAAACACAAAACTTGGAAGAGACATATTCCTAGGGGCCGTGTAAGCCTGGAGAGCCTGCAGGCCAGGGCCCCAGTGCAGGGTCTGTGCTTCTTCTGAACAAAACCAGGTATCTCACCACATCCCAGGCTCTTCTGCTATAGAACAAACAGGAAACATACTTGCCACAAAGGATTGTTGCAGAAAAAAATGAACTAGCAATGCCTAAATAGATATGCAATAGTGGTACGTATTATGATAAAAACCCTGGTGAAAATTATTGCAATTCTAGGCACATGCTGCGTAGTTCCTCCTCCAAGCAACATACCCACCTGCAGTCAGATGCTCTGTTATAGCCAGACACTAAACCCTGCTTTACTACACTCAGAAGCATCAGGCCCAGGCAGCCACAGGTACTACAGGAGGCGTTTCCATAAGTCAGCTAAGATAGCCGCAGGCCTTCCAAGGAATTACGGGTCAGTGAGAAAGAGCTAAGGGCATGAAGAACACAGTCATTATGTCCTCAGGTCCTACAATCTCCACCACAACCTGCTTTTATAAATAAGTATTCTTGGCCAGGCACAGGGACTCATGCCTATAATCCTAGCACTCTGGGAGGCCGAGGCAGGGGGATTGCTTAACGCTCAGGAGTTTAAGACTACCCTGAGCAAGAGTAAGACCTCGTCTCTACTAAAAATAGAAAGACTAGCTGGGTGTTGTGTCAGGTGCCTATAGTCTCAGTTACTCAGGAGGCTGAGGCAAGAGGATCACTTGAGCCCAAGAGTTTGAAGGTGCTGTGAGCTAGGCTGACACCATAGGACTCTACCCAGGACATAGAGTGAGACTCTGTCTCAAAAAAAAAGAAAAAAAGAAAGAAATCACTGTTTTTGGTAGAGAGCCAACTTTTCATTTCAATGGGAAAAGAAAACCAAATATGTAATGATATTTCATAGAGTTCAAAATGTGCATTTGCTGCTTGCAGCTCCTAATAAAAAGGACAAAAAAATTGAAAGATCAAAATTACTTAGAACTAAGTAAGGAGAACGGATGAATTAAATATTTTCTACTTACTTGGAAGGAAAACAAAGCCCCTTGTCACATCTCCATCCCAAAATAAATAAATTAATAAATGACTTTTCCCCTCCTATAAGAAGTGATGAAAAGTATCAGGCTAAAGAAGTTAGTATCATCATTATTAACATATGTGAGAAAAGAGTGGCTAAATTCTTCAGGTTAGCTGGAAGTTCTATTTCCAAAAAATTTACTCTTTTTTTTTTTTTTTCAAATATGACGTCTGACAATAAACTTTGCAAATACATCCTAGAAAACGCTACATATCTCACTGCTGAATAACACTACGGTCATCTTCGAAGTACTCCCCATGGCCATCTGGTGACTGTAGTGATACTTAGCAATGAGATAGATATGTAGCACTTTTTCTAAGATGAGTTCGAGAACTTAATTGTCAGACTTTGTAAAAAAAAGTTTCTTAAAGAAAATAGAAACAAGGTGGGCTGGGTGCAGTGGCTCACATCTATAATCCCAGCACTCTGGGAGGCTAAGGCAGATGGACTGCCTGAGCTCATGGGTACCAGACCAGTCTGAGTCACAGAGAGACCTCATCTCTAAAAATAGCCAGGTGTTGGGGCAGGCGCCTGTAGTCCCAGCTACTTAGAAGGCTGAGGTACAAGATCACTTGAACCCAAGAGTTTGAGGTTGCTGTGAGCTGTGACAGACACCACGGCACTCTACCAAGGGTGACAAAGTCAGACTCTGTCTCAAAAAAAAAAGAAAGAAAGAAAATAAAATAGAAACAAGGTAAATCTCTGCCCCATTACCTTTGATTTTCTGGTCCCTACATGAACAACATAGAAGTGATATCAACTGTGATGAAAAGTAAGAGTCCACTTGCTCTTAGTTTTCAGACCAAGATTAACATTCACACGTTTACCATAAATTTGAAAGGCACATTTGGAAAGGTAAAGATCCGCCAACCTCTTTGTGAGCCTTAAAAATGCTATTTCCAGACTACCACTTAAGAATATTATTTTGGTCACAAACCATAAAAGATCCATTAAATAAGATAAAAGATGGTTTAAAAATTAATAAGTTTCTGCTTGTACTTTGTGTTATAGTGACATCTTCTGGCCAAGTGAGAGTGCTACATTTTAACAGCTGAGCATCTCTAAGTCAAGCTCATCCTCTAAGGCTGAGGATGAGGGTTGCAACCCAGAGGAACTGTATTAAAGGGCGGGTTGCAACCCAGAGGAACTATATTAAAGGGCGGCGGCTTTAGAAGGGTGGAGAACCACTGCCTCTCCTGCAGGCGTCCTCAAACTATGGCCCCGGGCCACATGCAGCTGGCCGAGGACATTTATCCAGCCCATCAGGTGTTTTTGCCGCAGCTGCCTGTCCTGCTTAGCAGCCGACTTGTCCTGGGGCCCGCAGTCCGGCCCTTCAACAGTCTGAGGGAGAGTGAACTGGTCCCCCTGTTTAAAAAGTTTGAGGACCCCTGGAAGGAGAGGCAGGGAGCAACACGTGTTCCCCTTCAATCTCAGTCAAGACCACCCATCTCCATAAAACACTTCTCTCTACTATAGTGTGGCTCTTCAGCTTCCACTGAGAACTTCACTGCAGGGATAAACTTGCAGCATATACTTTTAAAAAATGCACTTAGAGCTGCGCCTGCGACTCAGTGAGTAGGGCACTGGCCCCATATACCTAGGGTGGTGGGTTCAAACCCGGCCCCGTCAAACTGCAATTAAAAAAATATCTGGGCTTGGCGCCTGTGGCTCAAGTGGCTAAGGCGCCAGCCACATACACCTAAGGTGGCGGGTTCGAATCCAGCCCGGGC